TATTCCAATTCTAGCTTGTCTGAAGATTCAGGTTCCGAGACTGAAACGGAAACCGAAGACGATATGGACGGTATGGATCCAGAGTTGATTGCAGTCGCTGCCGGTTTAGATATACCATCATCAGTCCCCAGCTCTCCTAGAACACCGAGGCCTCCTCTATCTTCCTCCTCCACAAGCAGGCCGCTGTCGTATGAGCGTGGGAACGACTTCCCTTCCACTCCTACGGGTGTGGAAGACGATATACAGATGGTTAGAGGCAGTTATGCTCAAGTGTATGGATTCCGATTACCCAAAGCGCCATCCTCACCGCTAGCTGCGCAAAGCTTAACGTTCCTTCCGTCAACCCATTCACAAACAGAATCTAGTGTCCCCCGAGGTGCAACACCAACTTTGTTTGGTACACAGTCTCTAATCGGTCCTGGTGATCTGCCGCCGAGCGGAGGGAGCCCAACGGAGCTCAGGGATAGGAAGATCTCTATGATCCACACAAGCACAATATCAACAGTTCCTACGTTATCCAAACCACCGTCCTCTCCTCCACGGGCATCACCCTCTACCCCCCCACGTCAATCAATCAAGTCGCCAAGTAAAAGTCCGAAGACCAAAGGCGGAAGAATGTCTGGTTTCATATCAAGATTCACGCTTGGATCTTCAACTTCCTTGGCTATTTCTCCACGTCCCGTCTCTCCAGAATCTATCCCGCCCGTTCCACCGCTAAAAGTCGATGAGTTGGGGCAAATCGTTTCTGATCCGTTCGCTAAGGATGATTGCACTACCGTTGTTAGTATGGCAGAGCCAGACAGGACTTTGACCCCTGCCGACTCTGCAATACGAAGCTCTTTTGTCTCACCAAGTGTATTGCTTGGTGAGGTCAACGGAGAAGCAATTCCTACTCGGAGGGAAAGAAGTGGCACTATTGGCACCTTGTCTTCTGCATTTAGCTCATCTACTACCGACTCGACTAACTCCACTACCAATTCCTCTCCCGAACGTCAATCGCTCGCTAAAAAGAAGCGTCGATCCCTGGGGCTTACCCTTGGTACCGTGTCTATTGGTAACATTAGTGGCATACGGTCTCCTACTATGGGGACAGCTCGAGGCAAAAAGCGCAAATTGGTGATTAGTGGAGTAGAGCTCAATGATACTCGCGCTTATCAGGCAGTGAAATTTTGGTGCGAGAGTTTTGGAGAATTGAAAAAGTTTGAGAGGCGGGACAATGGAAATTTAGTTGTTGATTGGAGAAGTAAAAGTGTTAATGATATGGTAATCCTTTGCTTCTTTGTGCAATATTGAAGTACTGATTCGGGCGTTTTGGACAGGTTTGTCGTGTACAAGCTAACGTCTTCATTAAAGGTGCTGGAAGTGTTGCGCTAAGCTGGATCCAATCTTGATTGTGGTCTGCCGGCTCATTTCTTTCCCTCCTTCGCCGCTTTTGAGGCATTTGCATTTGCATTTCCATCCATTTCATTTGCATCTATCATATATCTGATTATTTTTTTTTGCATACATAGAATTGACTGCTCCGTTTTTTTTTTTTGCTGTGTTGTGTTATTAATCGTCGTCTCGAGCTTTTTCTTCCGTACAGATTCTTTTGACTTTTGCATATGCCCTTTGCTTGCTGCTCAACATTCTTTGACATTCGTGTACGGTTTTCATCATTCCTTCGTACTCTTTCAAGCTATTGTGCCTTGCATTGGGTTTTAGCGTTTAATGCGCCCAGGCTAGTCCTTGCTGGTTTTGTTTGGCATACTCAGGAACACTGTCGGTCAGTCTACTGACAATCCAGTCAAGATCAATTCACTCATAATTTTTGTTTGATTGTTCAGACCTCCTCTCCTGAAAAGCCCTCGGGCACTCGATACAGGAACTCATCGCGGAAGCTATACAAATCTTTTGGGATTCTATCGACTCAATCTCCATCTCTGTATCATCCATTGTAACACACTTCCACCACGAATTGCGACATAGGTCGAGTGACAATTTGCTATTATCGCGGATGGACGGATTCCCTCTATCTCTTTCATGTACACATCACGCTCGTTCCGTCTCACATCATCCATTAACACTCATTTCCATTTCTTTTACCCTGTGTATCGTCGCTCTTTTAGTCCTCGTCTCTCTTTCCGATCTAGCGGTCCCCCGTCATAATACCTGCCCATCCGTGTATCCTCTTTCTGTGTTACCAGCTTATCCCGCGTTCATATTTGCGCTTCTCCCTGTCTATCAAAAAAACGCACCCGTTGTGTTTACTTTTTACCCCATTTCTCTCGTTACATTCGAACTCTCCTTTGAGTACGCATTGACATTACTTTCCTTCCTTCACAGTATTCACCTCGGACATACACTACACTTGGGTTAACCGGTACCATCTAATTTTATTGCTTCAATAACAAATAGATTCTCAATGAATAACACAACCCGGGCGGCCGTAACATACCCGTTGGAGATTGTGCTCGCCTTGCTCCAATTTATCACAACACTTGAGGATCTTTGAATAATTATGAACATCTTAGCTAGTTTTGAACCTTTTGTTGATACAAATACAGGGGAAGTAATAGGTATGTCTTTTGTTCGCACAATCATTATCTTCCATGTATCTCACAGATGTCGAACTGATATTTGTTGTACTTGATTGATAGACATTCAGGAGGATTGACATTCTCCGTTGCTTGGCTGGGACCTGAAAGTTGCATAACGGACGGCAACACAATGGAAGTAAGTAGGGATAGAGCCTCGAGCTCAATTGTGGGCCCATTGCCCATTTACACGTAAAGTTAAAGTCCGAAAGTCCGAACTTTACAAGATGGGCTCCTTTCCTGCACGAACGTCACGACCAGGGAACAACGGAACACTTAGTACGTGTTGCCCTCAATTTCATCGCGGCAGTCTGACCTCATGATAGGCCAGACACGAACGAGTTACGAGCAGATTTCTTTCCACTGCACTCTGATTCCGCTATATCACTGCCGTGAAGTCCACGCCGGCACGGGATATTGTCAATCTTGAAAGCGCGTATGCTGTAAGTATTCTACGTGCTTTGCGCACTGAGTCCGCTAATGAAAACTTACGGCCGTTGGAGAAGAACGCGCACGCTGGTCCACCACGAATTTTGCTCAGTCCATCTAGAAAACTTCGCAGACAGAACGAACCCTCATGCCGACTTCTTTCAGGTCAACGTGCCCTAGCCTCGACAGGCTGGTGGCGTTTAACCCTTGATCCACAGCCATTCATAGCCCTCGGTCTTTGCTGGATGCAATGATGAAATAACTACATGGTATGGCTTTACTGTTGAAGAGGCGTGTTGTTGTTTTGAATTTCTGCCTTCATAGCAGCTGTCTGGATCGTTCCTATGTAGCAAAGGGGCTTCGGTTCCTCCTAAAGCGCATGCTTACTACGCAACAAAGATCGTCGCTTTCACAGGTTACATGTGGGATCTAGACTCCCCCCGTTCGTCCGAGTATTACCTGTACTGTACAACTTGTTCGCTACTAGGCTTCCTGAATGGTAGATGAACAGGAACAATATTAGGTGAAGAGTCGAGCGCGGTCATTGACTTCGTACCTCCACGTTTTGTTGAGGAAATTCTTGCACGAGGCCAGAGCTGGGGGTTTACGCCGGTCCCCGGTTGTAGGTTCGATCTTACAGGAAGTTGGTCAAATTCACGTCTGCCTTTATTATTTATCAGCTAGTCATTCACTGATTCTTGATCAATGCTTTACGGATAATCCGTTTCCAAGGGTCATGCTACCTAATTGTTGTGCGAAGAGTGCCAGAGAAATTCTTACGATCTTTACAATGATATGAGACGAGGGTCGTGTGTAGAGGCCCGACGAAGGGTGGCAATAAGAAGAAAACTGAGAGGCAATTGGATAGATGAAAGAAAAAGCTTTATGAAAAAAATGCACCCTCCGAAGTTACTTGCCTTCATTGCCATGAACATCGATCAGAAAAATCACATTCATCTCGACTGCCTTTGCCACATGTATCTCTAATCCCTTCTTTCAGTCGTGCATCCACAAAAATGCTCGTTCGCTGGAGCTGCGTAGCCTTTATCAAAACGAGGCTGTATATTGAGAAGAGGCGTTGGAAAGCCTTGGAGTTGGCATTAAATGAATAGAAGCTAAGAAGCTTGAAGGCCTCAGGCAAAAGAAGCGACGAACACTGTTACGAAACAATAAATTGCTGAGTAGAGGTCATGAATTCGACGAATCAGCATATCATCAAATAAAAAGGTGGTCAAAGCTGATTATAGCAATACCTAAATGGAAAGAGTCCACTCCTGTGCATATTAAACAGATGGAAGAAATACAAGGAGTCATTATATTGTTCTTAGTCTGTATCGGGGAAATATTGATACACATCTGTGCGTAGATACATTCATTTCAAAGGATGGATAGTATGGATATATTTCTGTGTGGGGTGGTCACATTGCACCCTCGGACTTTGAGATGATAAACCTGTATTGTAGCTTTACTTAACTCGGATCCGAACAGAGGATGAGCTGTAACTTTACCAGGCGTGAATAATTCCAGGAATCCATCCCAAAATACTCAGACAGATGTTGATCCAAAAATCTAAGCACAGTTGAGGCACAATATGGACTGGGTCCGCAGAGAGAAGAAAATGAGTACAAAAACTGACCAGCTGCACAACCTCGCTCTTATCATCAAAGGGGAACTTCAGAAAGAGTTCATTCACTTGATGACCAGGAACTTACTCAATAAAACCGAGACTGGAGGCAGTAATCTGCAGACGAGTTGTAAGCCTTGTAATCAGGTATTTAACTTGACCTCACATAGCCAAGAAGTAGAGAAAAACATCGTAGTTTGAGGAGACTTTGCTAGTCATTGTGAAGAATTAAGGCAAGGAAATCAATAACTGCGAGATACTTTATGGCAAAACAGAAACTACGTCATTCAAGCAAATTTATATGACGTCATCAGGCGCACCGTTGAACGATTTAAAAAGAACTTGGTGAAAAAAGACTACAAACACACACAAGGTCCAACCAGGACTCGAACCTGGGTCACAGGAAATCCGTTTCAGAATCCTGTGTGATAACCTCTACACTATTGGACCATGCATTGTTGGTTACACATTAAATATAGCTCTTGACCCAGTTGAAAGCCAATATAACCTCCTCATTTGTTGATTTCAGCGAGTAGTACAAAATGAATATGGTACACTGAAGAGGTCTTTGACAAATCAACATTGCCTTGAAAACCCAGCTTGTGTCTGTGCATCATCCGCAGTATCACCAAAGTTAGTCTTGTCGGGTCGACCATGCTCCCTGTCAGCTTGATGCGAAGCCTGACTGGAGGCTAGCAAAATTTGGCTACCAGATTCAGCTAGTAGGAGGTCTCAGTCGTGGTAAACATTTTAGGATCAAGAGTGGACGTACACATCATTGACTCAGTAGTGTCGATGATATCAGCAATCAGTCGTTCAGTCAGGTCCTCGCTCAATGTCTCGCGCACTATACTGGAGCATGAGGTTTAGGTGGACAAGTTGATCACACGGATTCTTACCTACGACGCGCAGCATCTCAGTGTCTTTTTCACCTTCAGGTCCCTGATAAAGTATCAGGCGATTTATGTCGACACGACTCAGAAACACTTATCCCGCACGTTATAGTTGGGTACGATCCAGCCTTTCGTCCTGAGCATAGACTAGAGATTGAGTGGTAATATGAGATTCGACTTCGGATTGACACATGCCACGCGGTAGCTTCTTCCACATACCTGAATCCAAACTTGCTGAACGTGCGGATATTTTTCTTTGAAATCATCCGATAATCTGGACAAGAGACTCACAGTGAGCGTTCATCTCCGAAAATGTCGACACCTTACTTGAATGACACAACAGGCAAGCCTGGTTCATACGATTCCGGATCGTCATCTTCATCTCGCCCAGGTAGAACACGATGAATGTTACTCAATATCTGACGGCAACGGATTAACAGATTACATCGAATTGTAAGTCAATTTCACGGACCTTGAAGTACGTATTTTCCAAAGCTCTGGAAAGCAATCTGGCATTGCGCAAGTCCTTGATCGCAATTTTACGATATCCTTCGAAACCAAGATTGAGGAAATTAAACATTTGAGCGATGATAGGCGAAGCGGGCTTTGAGAAGTTCCTGTGACATGCTTAAGTGATTGAAAAGCGGTTGGATGATCTAGACTTACAGTGTGAAGGAATATTCAACACTACCGAGGTAATCTGATACATCGGATTGTTAGCAGCGATTCATTAGTTCACTCAAAGATCTATACGCACGAAGCTCGAAGACAAGATCTTTGTTCAAAAAAGATTCATCTCGCCATAGCACCCAACCGATTCCAGCATAGACAAGCCCAAATTTGTGTCCAGACGTGTTAATGGAAACGACACGGGGAATATCGAAGCCCCATTTCAAGGACGGGAAAGCAAACGGAGCGACGAATGCACCGGATGCGCCGTCGACATGAATTGGAATATCTAGTCCAGTCTTCTCTTGAAGTTCATCAACTGGATGAATCATGATCATGAGATTGATGTTGAGTCGATACTAGTAGAAGAATCGAGCCACCCACGTAGGTCGCTCATCTCCGCTACGTTCTCGAAATGTCCAGTATATGTCGAGCCCAATATAACCATCACTCCAATAGTATTTTCGTCAATAAACTGTATCGCATCCTTTGGATCCATCACGTAGTTGTTACTAGCTTTGACAGGAACGAGTCGACATTCAACGTCAAAATATCTACAGAATCATCAGTTCCCAATCAATTGCGTTTCAACTACACAAAAATCAATCCACTTACCGCGCAAACTTCTCCAAAGCGACTTGAGCGTTGGACCCGAAAACTATGTTGGGTTGATAGTGATCCTTTCCGGCAGCTTTACGGGCTTCTTGCCAGCGTTTCTTCATTGCAAGACCTCCCAGCATGATCGCCTCTGATGAGCCAGCAGTGGAAGTTCCAATGACTTTGCCTACGGACGGGGCTTTCCACAAAGAAGCAACTATCATTGCAGAAATAGTCTGATTATCGACACCGATATTTGAATGATGAAGATACCACATACTCATCGAGATACAACGATTGTGTATGATTGTCGCAGCAGGGTATTCATCCATATCAACTTGATTTTTGTTGATATTCTCCATGATGAGTCTGGGATGAGATTTGTGTTAGATATCCGTGTGCAACGAATATGAAAACTTGTTTTACTTATTTGCTTCCTCCGGCATCCAGGTGTGCACAAATCTACGTTGAAGCATCCATTTTCAGAGTCATTGACGCACAGGTATGAAACGAGGAAGACTGACGAGGCAAGGTTAAGCAGAGGGTTCCCGTCCAGTTGAGTCTCATCGTGAAGGAGCTGGTAGGCGGCTTTGGATGGAATCCCAACTTCAGGCATAGAATATTTTGGGACACCTTGGGCGTCTTCATCGCGGCTCCAGGACTGATGAACTGATCGACGTTCATGAGTCTGACGGTACGCCTGGGTATGACGAGCGTCTTTAGATTTCTGGATTACTTCCTCAGCGTCGACTAGTAGCTTGGTCAGGTTCAAAGGTCGACAAAGGACGAACCGAGAACTTACTGTGTCTTGAGAGAGACATGGTTCAGCAAACACTAACGCAAATCTTGATAATGGTGGCACGGCAGTTTTTATTTAGAACGGGAAGAGCAAAAGATGAGCCCTGCTGATCAGTATCAAGGCACTTATGCGACATTTGTAGTGTCTTGCAAAATCTAATGAGTATGAAAACATTACGGGGTACTGTAAGGAGTAAGGATCAGTGGAATACTGTGAGATGGAAGAATGATGCCTAGACGGAGGGAAAAGACCGGAGTAAAGGCATATAACGAAGGAAAGTAAAGCGGATGCATCAGCTATAGTAGTTCATAAGTTCATACAGTCCAATAACATAACAGTGTCAGTCAATCAAATAGCAAATCCGTACGAGTCCAACCAAATGCGAATGCAAGCCACCTCTCTTCCACGAAAATTCATCTTGATAATCTATCGTCTCGTATAAGCAACTGCGTTCCTGAGCAGCCCAAAACCCGAAAGAAACATGACGAGAAAAGTGGCGATGAGTGCAATGGACGCCGGATGTGCAGTATACGATGTATTTGCACCACTGCACACTGTACAATCCCAACCTATAAAAGAACCAGATCAGTGGGAGTCTAGACCGAAATAAAAATAGACACACTGGCAAGCGGTGTGTAAGGCTGAGGCGTGTACAAGGCGAACGTCAATGCCGTGTTTGGACTCAGATATCCTGGTCTTGTCGTTGCACTCAAACCTCTCTCATCAAAGATCTGTAGAGAGTATGTAGTCTGTGCCAATGGGGTAGCTAAATGACTTTGCTGATAGTTATACGGTGTCCATATGTAGCTGGACGCGGTTCCGGGAAGACTTGTCAGAGAGTATGTGAAAGAATTCGCTCCAACAGCGTTAACGGTGAGCGATGTGGGAGTAGCAAGAACACCGGAAAAAGACCAAGCAAAGGTCACAACTTCTCCCGAGGCAATTTTGAAGAAAGAGGTGGATGCTTGTGGCGGTTGGGTCATGGATAAAAGACCAGCTGGAGCAGATTGTGGAATCGAAGAGGTTTTGGAGGCGGAGGATGATCCAGACGAAGTGCTGCTGCCGCTCGCAGAGGTTGCTGTAGACATGACTCCGTGTTATTGTACTTCTACGGCGAGCAAAAAGCAATGAGGTTGATGGTAGATAGAGACAAGACTGAGAACCCTTCTCTCTTCGTCGGCTTCTTCAACAGCTCAAACTGTTGTCGTGGGCTTCCTGTTGTCGTGGGCTTCCTTGGCTGAGGGTGCCACGATATTCCGATCTGCCATGAGAGAATTCCCCACGTGATTGATTGATGACAAATCACCGTTGCTTGGTCAAACAAGTTGAGGGAGGACCAAGTCGGTCGACCGACGACGCCAGTAACTTTCTGACGCACAAATCTCTACTCTGAAATGAATCCCATAGCATGAGTAGAGGATCGTAACAATAGACAGGCTACGACGGTATCACGCGACAGCTGAGCAGGTATATATTGGGGAGAATAGTTTTCAGACTGTCAGATTGGAATCCGGGATAAAAATGGATATACTAGGGCTAATGTACATGCACATAAATTTTCTGGAGATATCCCTGAGGAGGCAATGATATCCGGGAAAAGAAACAGCGGAATGAAGATTCTGTGGCAAGCATCTTGGCGGAGACATACGGCGGTTGTGAATACACCCATATAATACCGGTACCGAGGCTATGCAGTGCTCTCAAAACTCCTTTCTGGTCTATGAAGGGTTGCCCCGTTTCTGTTGCTCCCACTGTGGGATTGGGGAGGCTCGTGTCTATAGAATGCACCACTGATAGCCTTATAGGCAAGCAAGCTGGAGGAGGTTGAAAGTGACGTACCGGTCGTGGCACCTGGGTTATATACTTATTGATACGCTTCGCGGCCGCTATAGAATGGTTTCTATGAATTCAATTTCGTATACTTAAGCCGATTTGAAGCTGGTGATTCATGCCTCCGTGTAACATGCAACTGGTGACAAATACTCGCCCACTCGCCGGTGAGTTTGAGAGGCAGTAGTTTCGTATCCCATGTGAGGACTATACATACGTTGGTGTCACAGCGGTCGCAGTAAGCTCCATTATCATACGCCCTCAATAACTTTCTACCTTCTTGAATTGATGAGCAAGTTTGATATTTATGGGGTAAGTAAATCATGGATATGCTTACTTTAAGCATCATGGGTACCTCTCACAGAACCGAAGAACGAGGATCTGTCATATCAATCCTTGAGGTCCCGCAAATGAATAACATATGCAAGACGTACGCTGAGCATCGATTAGGATTTTGTGGCTTGAAGAAGTAAATCGAAATATTGAGTGTTGCTGGATATATGCATATAATTAGTATTTCTCTGACTAGTACGAGCCGCAAATGAAAATATTAAGGACAACGGTCGGTTTTTCGGGGGATACTGAGGAGAGTTTGAAGATTGCGCTCCGTCCTGAAGGCTTTGTAAGTGAGACAGTGACCAGACGTCTATTGGAGAATGAAT